GAAACTAAAATTGAACTCTTTGGCCACAATCACAGAATGTATGGCTGGAAGGGACACCTTGAAAACTGTTCAACGTTGCATTTGATTTACTACACTTGAGTTATGTGGCAGTCAGGGGAATAAAAGGTATATTTCTCACAGTACATTTTGACTACTGACGGCATGTTAGGGGTAAAAAAAGAACATTGACGACTGCTCTGCTCCCAGTAAACCCCACCAGTTGAGAGAAACACCAAAATATGGAGTAATGTCAGAAAGTTTGACAAGTCAAAGATTTGTTTTGAGAAATGTTAAATTAGTTACATGTGACCGCTCCGAGAACAAGAGCACAATGGTATTCATTTTTTATTTTGCTTGCTAAAAAAAAGATGCATTTTCTTCCAGCACACATTAGCTAATTAAGAGTAAAGACGACAAATTAGCATAAATGTGTAATCGTCACGTGGTTGTGTTTTATTTGTGATAGAGGAATGCTGAGGTTTTGCCTGCAATTGGACAGATAATACCACAACTCTTCCCACACAGGTAGCGCACTATTCAGTTGGCTTATATGGTGAGATAAATGGTGAAAATAAAATTAATTTCATCCTAAAAACTAGCGATTAGGACCATCAATTAATCTTTTTTCTTTACCGAGGTAATAAATCAAGTGAGAAGTAGGGTGACTTTTTCATTAACTTAAACACAATCGACCCTTCTTTTTGTGCCCCCCCTGCTGGCCTTCAGAGTTCATGCAAGTCTATGGCACCTGTGCAATAGATTAACATTTAAGACCCCAAGGTGGCCACCTGATGCACACACAAGGCATTGCAGATAAATTCAACACATTTTGGTACGGTCCTCAAAGGTTTTTACAACAGCTCTATTGCAATTGCCAAATGTGTAGTTACAGCAAATACTGATCTTATATTAACAGTCTGTGTACCTAATTAGAGTTCTTAATTGATACCAAATCCTGAAAAGGGTAAAAAATAATAATAATAAAGCCATTTTGAAGGACTCGTTCTAGTTTTTCCTTTTAATGCTCGCAATGTTTTTTTCTTTCTTACAGCCCAAAAAAATCCCTTCAATCTCAAGTTGTGGGGCTAATTGTTTTGCAGAGTAATTCAAACAGTAGCAGAGGAGATGGCATGAAAAACAAATGCACTGAAAAGAGGGTGCCAATCAGCAAAATCAACCTCATTAGGGACCACGGGTTGTTTACACATGGAGACTTCCCAATGCTCCTTTCAATTAAGCCTGTTGTCGGGCCTGGAACATCTACAGCGTTGTGATGTGTTGTCAGTTCAACTGTCCAAAGGAAAACGTTAAGAGATGACCATCATGCGTCGTCTGAGGCGCCCACCCGCAAAAAACACATCCAATTACTGAAATCAGGACACTGGCTCGGTTGTTCCACTGGCGGAACTTAATGCACAATGTGAAGCCTGATGGAAGACAGGGGGCTCCATTAGCACACGTACCACCCATGCAAACCAAGCGGGTTTGGGAAGTGATTTGGAGTGAAAGGATGTAAAGTTGGAGGGAAAGTGAAGACGCTGTGGAGGTCTTAACGCTGGGTATGCCTGTCACATCAAAGATGTTTTATTGTATATTTATAATGTATAAATTGTCCTATGACCTATTTTGATTTAGTTTGCAGGTATGACGTACACTGAATTAAACTACTCGTAGCCTCTAATCATTTATTATCGTCAATTGTCTCAGTACAGCTGTCAAATAAGTAGACAATTAAAACGAACGCTTCATTTGCAAAGGGATAATTACCCCGACAGAACATCGGCTCAACGCTAAAAACGGTTCTCTTTCAAAGCATTCGGCTTTAGAAATCCTCCAATGGTCGTGGAAGAGACAGACGGAAATAATGGGGGTATTTCTTCAACAGCGAGGTGCAGAACTGAGGGAGAACGAGATGAAAGGAGAGGGATGGAGAAAAGTACGGGAGGAAGGAAGCACAGCGAGTGATAGCACAGGAGGATCATGGGAAATGGACATTGAGAATGGCAACTTTCCTTCCTGCAGTGAGTTACAGAAAAGGTGGAGGAGGAAGCAGAGGAGGGATGAAAAGACCATCTACCATCAGGATACCTCGTCTTGCTGCTGGAAACTAGCGACACAGGCTTGAATATTAAAAGGGATTAAGCAAAAGTTGTGCTGAGGAGCTCTTACGTTGATACAATCACTTCTTACGCATTGAACGGGAAACCACTTTATGTGTTTCACCCAGTAGGGGTCTGGATTATCTTTATTTAGTTCAGCACAACTCCATTGTTATATTGGGTGTTGATTTGTTTAAAAACAGATCATTGGTTTTGTGCCCTGACAAATGTCATTAATGTTTTCCAAACTTCTTTAATAAAGTGTGGTCAAATGGTCGTTTTTTGGGAGACAAGGACATGTCAGACATGGGGGTCAAATGTAACCAAACTATGGCTGAGCCGAATGCTTCCACTTACCCAGGGTTTCCCCAACCATTATATCAGGAGGCCAAGAAGGTGTCATTTAATTTAATTTAAAAAATTAAAAATAAATTGCCCTCTACGCACAGCAGTTCCTCCTCAACACGCGCGCATATATATGTGTGTATGCGTCTGCCCAAAGCGACTACTTCCCATCACGTCCTGATGTCATATCACCTCGTGTTGATATCCATGTAGCTATGGGAACCATAGCCAAAGTTAAAACCGTAACGCAATTCATCCTCTTATGTAACAAATCCTTTTCCCCGCTGATAAACACAACACCTCTGCATGACCAGAGGGTCACAATTACGGGCTGATGTAAATGCTCCGTGAGCAGCTGCACCTAAATCGCTGTGCCTGGATACCTCTGCTCTGTGTGATCGCTCACGTCCCAACAGAAGAAGAGGGCCGACGCACGTTATTACGACGCTACTTGTGTGCCGCAGAAAAGCGCCACACGTCTCTCCCAATACATTGTGTTAACGATACAAGGACGAGGCATTTAAGGACAGGGGAAGTAGCAGGCGTGAGCGTAGGTTTTATCTGGGCGGACTCTGCTGAGCGCGCTTCATGACCCCTCCCTCCTCTCCATCTCTCCCCCTCCTGCTCTCATATTGGTCACATTTGTTGCCACGGACCATCCTTCAAGTACAGCACCACACTGGCACCTGTTGATGAGATGGCAGCATAGCAGACATGCTCGCACACAAGTCACACAACTGCCCATCTTTCCTTAAGAGGACGAGTCATTCTGCACAGACACAGATGTATCCGCACATGCAGATGTGCCTGATTGGAGGTGAATCCCACTGTCCCACACAAGCTTCATCTAGGGGTGTAGCGTTTAACTGATTTGAAAGTCGATATGGCGGTGAGAAATACGGCTACACTGAAGCAAAAACAGAGTCATCAAAAAGCGATGAAAGCGTCAAAAACTAATTTGGTCCAATATTCTCCTGTGCCTCTAGAGAGTACAAGCGTGTGCGGTTGGTGTGACCGTCTCGCTCGCTCCTCTCCTGCAGCTTCTCACATATCCACTCCAGGCCGTTCACTGGCAGAAAGAAAGGTAGTGCGGTGCCGAGTAATGAAGTGCTGATTGGAACATTACAGACAGAACTCCCGGACCAAGGCAGGTGGGAGCTGCGACTCTCGGTTTCGAAAGGCAATGCTGAATGAAAATACTGGATTTAGGCAGAGGATACTGACCCTGGTATTCTTAGTCTGCCGCTGAAAGGAATGCCATGACTCCTCCCATGTTGTTCTCCCCCTGGTGGTTGGTATGTAGCAGGGCACGCATTTTAAACGTCAATATTGCTGTCGATCATGCTCATTTAATTGTGGCAACCAAAATTGGGATGGCCACCGAAATTCAATTAATTGTGCAGCCCTAAGAGGAACTTTGTTGCAGTTTTATCAACTTTGTCAACTAATTGACTGGATCTGTCACTCGGGATCAGTTAACACAACAAGCCGGGGCCCTCCCAAACTGACAGACGGAGCTGTTCCTGACAATAACCGCCATAAGCCGCCGTTGGCCTTCGTGTACGGTGCAGAATTTGGGGAGGTTGCTCAGTAGCTGTGGCGCCCGTTAGATCGGTGGTTCTCTCAGTTTCCTCCATTTCCCCACACATGCTCACCGTGCCATCCTTCAGTCTGGCTGGTATTAGATATTGTTGCACTAACAAGGAGCGGATGACAAGGCTTGACAAGGGAAGAGCCGAGGTCAGAGGACATGGTATCCTTTGATATGAAAGCTGACAGGAGGCGGAGAAAAATAAAGCACATGTGCGAAAAATAAATAAATAACCAAATCAAAGGCCAGTGCAGGTTTGTACCGCCTGCCTGGCAAGCAAACAATGGAGGCACTCCATCCCTGCACCGCTGCCCTGACACATCAACCCCAACACCGGCAGTGCAGCACACCCGGCACACAGTCGGCTTAGTTAAAAGTTGCCGTGCCTCAGGACATTTGCCGCACACGCAGACATTCAAAAAGTTGTTGATGTGACTTTATCTCGGCTGCTGGCCTCGGCGGTCTGTCCTTTCTTTACAGTTCGTGGAAATCTAATGGACTAACAATGGTGATCTGCCTCTGAAACATTATTTTGCTGCCTATCGGACTTTCGGATCAGTCCGTTTGGTTGCATTTCATGACCAGATGTTTTTTGTGAAAGAATTGGTTGGCTCAGTGCAGCTGACCGGTAAAGGATATTCAAATGAAATAATACCAACAAACTACAGGGTTCCAACAAGCAGTACATTTTCCAGGAGTGTTCCATCTCAACATCTTGCAGTATTCAACGTAACTTGAATGATCATGTAGAATGTGGCAGCATATTGACCAAATCAATTGAGAAACAAGGCAGGACCCGAGCTCCTTTGTTACTGAATCATTCAGGTATCATTATCATCTGCAAGTTTCCCCTAGGTTGAAAACTGCAGGGGTGAAATGTCCTAAATGTACCAGCCCACATAGAGTTGGCTGCAGTGGCTGCAGGGACTATTGCATTTATCCAGGGGAACGCTGCTCTCATTTACCTTCATCGAAGTCTGCATCGTCCTCGGTGTGCTGGGGAAAGGGGAAGCAGTTGGTGATCTCCAGCCGGTCCTCCACCACCAGGCCCAGCAGGACGCCCTGGACCACCTCGCTGCCTTGGCCCTCTTCCTGGTAGTGCTTGATTATCTTCAGCACCACCTGTGAAAAACAGCGGGAGCGCCATCAATACCTCATCAACACTCCTTTCAATATCCAGGTCATGACAAATGATTCCCCTTTCTGAGCCAGGGCTTATTTATTTATCACGAACAGCATCACTTCTTATTGTATTTTAGGTTTTTTTGATTTATGTTTTCCAATTCATTGGTGCCTCTGCTCGTCATGTTGATTTTTTTTTTCCATCGCTCCCACATTCAGAATTGCAGTATTTCCATGTTTTTGACACATTGTATTTTCATCACATGACAATAAAATAAACAATTTCAATGAATATCAACAGGAAAAGAAGACATTTCAATTTTTAGAAACATATTTGTATAATAATTCTATTGTGAGTTTACATCCCTCACTACACACTGTAACAGTGACTTCAGGCCAAAGTAAATATCAACCACAGGACATTCGCTGGCAGTAAGTGGTGATCAAATTGCAATGCAGTGCATTCCGTAGGATACAGATCCTTCCACCTTTTGCAGCAGACAAAATGTGTGACTGGGACACGGCTTCCAAGTCACGTCAGATCTGGTTTGTCTGTACTGTACATAGTTGAGGTGGTGAATATATAGAATATACGTCAACCCTGGTGGGCTTCTGTCAGTAGCTCACCCAGATTGACAGTGTGTCCTAGCAGAACCGGCCGTGTCAGTCAACCACTGCCGAGGGAAAGACCCACTAAAGGCATGAAGCCTGGAGGCCGTCACACACACACGTCAAATTACATTGAACCACAGTGGCTAGAGCATCGCCATGTCTTTACACTAAAGAAGGGGGGAGGACATTCAAATGGCAGCACAGGAGAGAGCAAAAACCTGAAACGTAACAAAAATGCAACCCACGTAGAGTAGGAGGGTGTATTTGGAGCTGTAGCCTGAAATCCCACAGCACCCTGCCTCATCTGGACCGGGTGTCCATGCATCATCGTATGCATTTAATATTTAATGCCAGATATAAATGGGCCAATAGGACATGCCTCCACATGATTGAAGAGCTGGTTTATGCTCCACTGCTGCACCACGGACAGCAGGGACAGCAGGGACACACACACACACACACAAACAATCATGGGAAATCTTGACCAGGCAAAACAGCCGAGGCAATGAGTAGAGAAGAATAAGGCAGAGCGTCTAAATGGACAGGAAGAGGACGAGGGGCTCAACCCACCGTGTGGTGCGGCAGAGCATAAATCTCACGGATAACCGCGTGGGCAGGTCACAGCCAGCGGCATTAATAACACACACACACGCAGACGCGCACGCAGTCCCGGGGCCATGCTCACAACAAAACAGCTCAAGCATGCACACACACACACACACACACACACACACGCATGCATCCGTCTTGGGAGATGATTTATTTCAATGAAGTGCTGGACCTGTCATGCAACAAGTAAAAGGGGGGTGACGAGGGGGCGCAGTGGGTAGAAAAACAAATCTCATTCCCAGCCTGTGCTTCTCCAACTGAGGGGAGGACGGTCTGTCCAATAGGCTTGGGGGGGGAAACAGACTTTCTAGTCCTCCACCAGCGAGAGATGAGAGCACAGAAACACTGTGCTTTTAGCCATTGAACTGTTGGCAATCTGCTGGTGTGTGTGTGTGTGTGTGTGTGAGGACAAGGAGGGGGGAGAGAGACGGGACCATTGGCTAAAAACAACTCCAAGAAAGTCAAATAAATAACGCTATGCTAATTCCAGCACAGCTTTAAGACAAGTCCTGAATCTACGCCGTCTGCGCTGAACATGGAAGAAAAAAAAAGGTGGGGAGGAAGAAAGGAAGGTGGGATCGGAGGTGTCGGTGGATTTGTCGAGTTGGCTTCCTGGTGATGCTGAGTAAATGCCATAAGGCATTTGAAGCAAAGCCTGTAAAGCTCTACGTTTGTGCGAACCTGGATCCGCACGCACGCACGCACCAACGCTCCCCAGCAATGTTCTTTTCTTCTCACCCCATCGCTTGCTCTCTTTATCTCCATCTCTCGCACTCAAACAAATCCACACCATTTGTATTGATCTAGCTCACCAGAAGCTAGCCCAGTGAGCTCACCTCGTGCAGAGAGGCCGAAGATGGATATACGGGCCGCGCGTTATAAATCAACAGGCTTAAAATTGAATTTTGCAAAATCAATCGCGGAGCCAAATCCCCTGTTGGCTGCCTTTAATTCTCATCATAAATCTTCTCTCTCTCGCTCACAAAAGGGGCTCATCTTCCCGCCACAACGGGGCTCAACTCATGAGAAAGTACGGCAAGAGAGACGAGCCTTTAATTACTTTTATTTTAGCGGTGTGGAAGGAGAGGTCTTAGTTTAGATTTAATATTCTCTTCATAGTGCCTTTCTTCCCATCCATTTCCAGTAACATCTGTCTCGGACGGAGACGATTTCACACCGATTAACAAACCTCTGGTGGAGTATTATGGCGTAGCGTGAAAGGAGCCCGGACCAACGGCCCTTTGCTCGGTGTAACGGGAGGGAATCCGCTCCTTACAGACTTGTGAGCGGGGTTCCCTGCACTCGAGCATTATATGTCACGGTCATATCAAGGTCCTCTTTCCTCCCCGAGAAGATTAGCCGCCCCCCAGCTTTACTCCCATAGCTCACTCAGGTCAGAGAGAATTCTACAGCATTGTTGTTCGGTGTCCACGGCGCAGTGAAGGAAGCCAATCGGAGCCCATAGAAACGTTTCTTCGACAGCAACTCTGACGAGAAGACAAACTCCATCCTAGATTTGGAAACTACTTTCCAGAGATAAAAGGTTCGCCGTGGCTCGGGCCGGATTAAGCCGTGGTCAAAAGACCACCGCAGAGAACCAGATAATTACTAAAGACTATTTGGAACACAGGATGAGCACAAGAGCTCACAAAAGGACGGGTGTGTTGTGTTTGTGTGTTGCATTGGCATATGGCATGCATTGTGCGTCACTGGGTGAATGGTGCATAATGCATGCCGTATGCCAATGAGACACAAACACATGTCATAACAGAGAGACACCTTTCCTTCAACTGTCTGGATCAAAATGAGGTCACACACTTTAAACAATGGAGATTCAAACTGCTGCAAATGAAACTCCACGGTGCTTCCTGCTGGGAGTCTGACGGCATTTTATCAAATCGGAAAAATGGTGTTGAATATGCCAATTAAATCTGAATCAATTCAAATCCCATCGTGAAATAAATAAAATGAAAAGAGCATTTAGTGTTCAACCTTTTAGGGAAAACGTCAGATTATTCAATGCGACTCAAAATCTTCAGCTGACGTCTGTAAGGTTGAGGACCGGAGCCGTTTGGGGAGAGACGCATTGATCCAACCCTTTCAGTTCCTATTCCAGCGCTCACTTACAAAGACGTGGGCCTCAGTGTGTGGAAAAGACTGGCATCATCCATTTAAGGTTACAGCAACACATGTTTCAGAGTGGAATGCTCATCGCCTGATGACGGGTCGTCCCGTCTGCCGCCATCGGGCCGATTCAACCGACAAGAGCAACGGCAGTAAAACAAAAGAAGAGGCCACCTGGATGTCTCGTTGTACGTTGCGTTGCCAGTGAGAATGAGAGGAGCAGTACGAGACTCAACAGGACGCGTTTCTGTGGGAGCGCAGAGAATCCGTCGTCTATTTAGGCACCGCAGGCAGCAGGAATGGTACCAAAACATTGCTCACACTAATTGCAGTCGTATTAGAGCTCAGGGTACCATTTCGTCGGGCCACGTCAGAATTGTTGTGGGAAGCAGTCCGAGACTAACGGCAGCCGCCCCGTCAACAACCAACCAGAGGCGTTACTGCAACGCGGGGAAGGAAACAAATGAGAGTGCAGAGAGTTTGAACGACAGCGCTTGCTCACAGGTGTTCCGTGAAGATAAAAATAAGAATTCAAAATCTTGCTTGTGCTACTCATTAACCGCTACTCAATTTCATTCGCAGCAATCATTACTTGAGCAACGTTAACTGTTCTCGCATGGAACAGTGGCCAGCGGGGAATCAGATTGCCGCTATAATCATTCCTCAATGATGTGTTTGTTTGTTTCATGAAAACCAAGTCGCTCGGCCTGTTGTAGCGTTGTACAATTAGTTCCATGAGGGGTGATGATCAAGGATCAAAACAACCCTCGCTGACAGCAAAACCACCGGGACGATCACATACCAAGTAAATATAAACTGCAGTTTCTGCATCACGAAGCAGCGATAGGAGAAATACAACCAAAGTCAGAAACTCTCCTGAGCAGATGGGAACATGTGGCTCAAACTGGGGTTCCTGATGAGCGCAGGCTGAAGGACCGCAGACAAGTGGAATCGCCTCGAGGGGGGGAGGGACTGTTCTGGCAAAGTGCTGGGGGGGAAATAACAAATCTAAGGGAAACGTCTGACATTGCTAAAAGTATTTTTTTATGCAACTAATTTCTTACACATCTTCAGCCATTTTTCGTCACTCCAGAGCCTTCAAACCCCAATGTGAAAATGCTGCAAAAAAGGTGGTTTCATAATTCGTGGCGTGTGAATCCCGTGCTCCCGTGGCAACAGCAAACCTCTTCAAAAAGTGAGGAGGCGGTGTCAACGCCGTCGGTGGGCGACCCTCCAGCAGCACCGGTGACAGACGGGTGTCTGCGCACTCAGGTAAACTCCACCCGAAACTGACTCACCCTTTCCTTCAAACCGTCCCAACCCAAATGGTCACACACACATGTTTTCTATTTCGAAGCCAGCCGCGAGTGGAAAGAATGGTTTGGTTGATAAGGCTGAGAAAGCTCATTAAGGAGTCTAAATAATACACATTGAGGTGAAATATTTAGATCTGAAATTGGGGCCTGAGACTCCAGGGCGATGTTAATGAGCAGAGTAAAACGGAAGGCGGCAGCTGGCACGTCCAAGCCCTGCAAATGTGTGCAGGCACACGAAGCAAATGAGCCGCTTGGTCCAGGGCGGCGTTGGGCGAGAGGGTGGAGAACACCAGAAGCGGCCAGTGAAGCAAGTTTGTCCTCTGCTGCTTGTACTGAGGTACTGCAGAACACGAAATAAATACTAAAAAACGTTTGGGTCAGATGAAATTAAACACTATCTACTTAGAGAGCAACCGCACACAATCGACAAGGGTTTTAAAAGACCCAAGATTGGAAAATGGTGTAAACAAATTCCAAAACTATGCTATATGAGGGCCTCTATACCCAGCATGGTTAATTATTATTATTATATCACATTAATGAAGATCAGCAGGGAGTAGATGTCACTCCAGACTATTGGATGGGGATCACGTACCTAATTTATGGTTATATTAAGTTACTATAATCAATATTTTTGTTGTTGGACCAGATAAGTCATTCCTAACAACGATAATCAGTCGAAAAGCCCAATTCAAACTCAATAGGCGGCAACAGCACGACTGATCAGTGATCAAATTAAATATTACATCACTACAGTATAAAGGACGTCTAAAAACCTGACCACCATGCTATCGATTCTGACGCCTGAAATTGCTCCTACTTCACATTGTTCGTTTTTTTTAGACAGAAATCAGACGTATGTGAGAGTGAAGCAAGAATCAGCATCATTAGCCTCTGGTCCTTCCAGACAACGCGCAGGGACAGCCCTCGTTCCACACGTTTAGCATCGGCTAACGATAACGTAAAACGGTTAGCATAGCATTAGCCGTTACACCGGTCAATACAGCGTGTGTTTAATTAACACAACATACAATTCAAGCATCCGCCACGATGACAAAGCACAATACACGTTACAAAACACTCGTTTAGACTTTATCTGACCGCCATGACGATGCTCACACTGTAGCTAGCATGCGCCTCTGCTAGCTAATACTCGCAACCGGTCTCCGGGCCGTCCGGCTCCGGCATCTGATACATCACGCGGGAGGAAGACTTACCAATCCTTCAATCTGGATCTGTTTGACGGGAGAGTCCAACGTGCCGCTGGTAGAAGCGACCGCGGGGGTAACAGCTGGAACAGACTCTTTACGTGAAGCCATCTCTACAGCGCACGCGGAAAAGGGGAGGAAAGAGTTCAGTGACGAACGTTTCCGGTAAAGACGCGTTTGCTTTCCTGTCCGTAGAGAAACAAGGTCTAAATCGAGATGGCCTCTTCAGTTCCAAGCAGTAAATAAGCAGCAGCAATCTCTCCAGTGGTTTGGCGGTGTAATAAGGGTGCTTGGTTTAAAATCCAATTGACATAGCACAACAATAATCATATATATATATATATATATAAAAAAATCACAAACACACATACTAAAACATACTGTGTGTATAGTATTCTACTGTAGCGTAACATTTATAACTACTGCCCTTTCCTAAAGTAACACTAAAGTTACCTGTACGGGTAAGTCAATAGGTGAGTTTTTATATTATAAAATTCTCCCCTAATTTGACTTTCATCTTCATATCCTTTCTGAAAACCCATTAATAAAGAGCCCTTAGAATGGATAATTTAATAAGAGCACTATGAATGAGTAACATCCAATTACCAAGTACTTAAAACACTTTATTTCAAATCTTTACAGATGTATCACAACTAGAGGTTACCTGAAGACTAAAAAGGTGGGATACTGAACTTAATTGTAACAAGTACATTACCTAGTTACATAATGCAAAAAGGTAAATAAGCATACAAGTAGGAAGGTACAAAAAAAAAAAAAAAAAATCACAAAACTGTATTGTTAAAACTGCTGGAATTATACATCTGAAACGTGATTTTTAATACAGGGTATAAGTCCCCACTGTTTTGACAGAGTCACCATTTTTGTTTATCATAAAAGAACAAGTGCAACAAGGAGAAGATGAGAGGTCACACTTCTGAGCAATAAAACAGTACCTTTCCAGAACATGTACAGTCAATATAGGATTCCTTGTGAAAATACAGGGCTCTTTATCTTAAAATCTGCAATGATTCAGGTGTGAGGGCCAATGGTATGAGACTAGTGAAATAAGCAGACACATTTCATTTATAAAACAAAAGAAAAGCTTACAAATCAGTGACTGAAAAAGGGTTGTTTTATAAATATACTTGTTAAAACATTCGTCCTCCCTGCGTATCAACCAAATGAATAATGCATGATTCCACCGGTAGTACAGTGAAATGAGCTTTTCTTTTTTTAAAGTTTCAAACCCATACCCTCCTACTCCCTCCCCTTACCCAGACAAAAATGGGACAGGGAAACACAAAATAAAAAAGGCAAAAATTTGAGTTGCGTAATTAAAAAAGTATGTTTGTTGCAAGCGAAGTGTTTGTCTGTTCTTCCGATGTCTAAATGAGGTGGAATCTTGGTCCAGCAGTGGCAACGATGTCGCTGTAGGGCTCAGTCTGGGTGACCTCGATGGCTTGCTGCTTCTTGAGCACGAGAAAACTGTAAAACTTGGCAGCTGCCTGCTTCTTGTTGTTGTTCCGGCACAATTCAAGCAGGCTAACAGAGTCTGCGCCGGTCTTTGCCATGACGCGCTACAGGGACAGAAGCACAGGAGTCAGTTTAAAATTATTTTAAACATTTAAATTTCTTTAAAAAATTGTGATACTCAACAATTTACTTCATACTATGTAGATTGATACAATCTACATATACTAATCCCCCTGAATCCTCACTTCAGACCCACTAGAGTTGTGATACTGCAGGGACCCTTTCCGCTGCCTATACTATTATTCTGCCGTGTTGCTAGCAGGCTCTCTGCCCGCGAGCATTGAGCCGTTGGGCTGCACCTGAGTGTGTAACCACCAGCCACCAAGCCCCTTAGTCCGCCCCTCTTCCTGTTGAGGCTCACAGACCACACAGGTCTGGTGCAGCAGGAGGAGGCGTGCATTGGGCTGCATTTATTCAACCCCTTCCCATAGGTTTTGGAGGAGTTATGTGCATTTGAACGCTCAACTCCTCCCACGTACAGCTTTATTCTCACCAATGCCGATCCCTCCCAAGGCCTGAGAGTCTCTGGAATTTTGTTTTATGCGCAAATCTTTCCATTCAGAATTTCAGGAATTTCAGAAAAGTAACTTTTTTTGGTACCTGGAGACCGTGCAGCATCTGCTGGGTTCTCTTGTTCCATCTCTTCTCCTCCTGGTCCTGGTCTCCGGTCTGACCGTCCTGGTCCTGAGAACAGTCATCAGCATCAGCCGGCTCAAATCTCAACACTCACACAATGAACTAAACGTCACCACAGAACGGGATGTTCTACAAACTGCACACACCTGCAATAACTTTGCTTACCCCTTTTCACTTACTTTCCAGTAGTTTTTTTTACATCGGTTTGGGAACTTATTAACCAAACTGACGAGATGCATCCCTAGCCAGCCATCAAGACTACTACCAATGATACAGTATCAGAGAAAGCAGTGATTTCCCCCTCACCTCCTCTTCCTCGCTGTCATCCTTCTTGTCTTTGCTCTTTTCACTGAGCAGGTCAAGCTCGGGGACGAGCTGGGTGAGGTTGAGGCTGCTCTCCTCTGGGGGCAGATCCACCTGATGTACGTCTAACCTCTGAGACAAGACCGAGCGGTCGGCCACATGCTGCGGCTCCAAGGCTGCCATCTGACATGGGGACAAAGTTCAGACAAAGTAATTACGCTTTGTGTCGCTCCCAGTTCATCTGTGAGCATTTTCACAGGTTTACTGAAAAAAAAAGCAGCTGGAATTTAAACTGGATTACACATGATTAATGTGACCTCATTGACATTAAATAAATCAAATCTGGTTTAAAGGGCATGTACTTGAATCAAGGGGCGGTATTTGTCATGAAATAGGTTTTAAATGTGTAAGCACTGAAATAAAAAAACATTTGGGGCCTTTAAACATTACTTTATATACTATGCAACGCCCACACCAAGTGCCAAGAAAAGCAAAAATAAAATGTAGCTGACGAGCACTCACAGGAAGGATGGGCTCTTTGTCTATGGTCTTGCGTTTGACCCCGCGGGGGGTGGATGGGGGAGGCATGACGGTCTCGTCCAGAGTCGTCCTACTGCCCTCCATGGCAGAGGCTGCCAACATGCTGGGCTCCTCCATGATGGTCTGGCCTGAGGCATGCATGAGGGAGATTGTTAATAAAAATGTTTGTTTTTTTAAAAAGGAGGGGGGAGGGGGGGGTGGTTAGGAGCGCTCCTCTCATCCAAGCGGACTCACCGATTACATCTCTGTGCTGACTCATGACCTCCTCTCTTGGCACCTCTGGGTTCTCCAGCTCTTTGAGGAACTCGTCGAGACTGTCTGCGTCGCCACCCTTCCTCCTCTTCCTCAGCTCGTCTGGCACCAGAGGCGTCAAGCAGCGCGTGAACATCTGATATCGAAAAAGTCAACCGTTAAACTCGGGCAGAAGTTTTATTGAATGAAAGAAAAAGTCACAATTTTTAAAACCCAGGGAAGAAGGTATCTGTGCATCTTGTTGGACTAACAGAGTTCTAGATCATTCCCGGAGCCTGTTTTACCACTTTTCCTCATTAATGATGCATTATCCATCTTCACCTTTAATTAGGAGTTCCCTGATTAGCTCTGTTCCCCACCGCAATAAGTGCGATCCAGGCATAACCAGTAGAGTGTTAGAAAGGCCGAGGCCAGACAAAGAGGTTTGCTAAATTATGCAGTATTCTAGAGGGGAAACGTGTAGGTTTGAGAGGACAGAAGATCCAGACGAAAACCAATCACTTCTACTCTCCCATTAAAAAGCGCCTGGGTTTGCCCTACTTGGAGTCAGACAGCCGGCCCGGCTCGCTCAATGCCGTTCGCAAAGTGGGAATACGGCTTGTGAGCGATTTCAAACCGGCATCAATAGGTTGTCAAAAATGCAATATGTGTACAAATGTATTCACAAATGCCTGCATGCATGATTCCAAACAAGAATACGTCACCTTGAGCAGCCTGACATTCCAAAGAGGCTGAGCAGGCAGAGAGAAAAGCTTCTCCACTCCGCCGGTCTCCTTCCACATCATGAGCTTCTTGGTGGGGGGGGCAAGGTCCAGGGTGGTGACAATGTCAGAGTAGTCGGACAGCTGAGCCCTGATGGTCTTACTGTCCAATTCCTTCACGCTGTCAACAATCAGCTTCCTCTTACGCTTCGCCTTGGTCTCTTTCACTGCAGAATAAAGTAAAATACTTAATTCCTCGGCTTTTCTCCATCCTTAAAAGGGTAACGTTTCAGCACACTGTAAACAATGCTCCACTTAAGGGATCTGTAGGTCAATTGTCTAAAGATTCTGCAAATGAATTCATTTGAAACATTGCTTGCAACTGCTGACCACAACTAGATGTAGCTCCCGGGGGAGAAAATGTAGAGCAAAATCTCTAATACATGACAAAGATGGTCTCATCAGCCAATTTGAGCCTCCAATATACACATTGAGAAAAAAGGAATAGTTTAACAAATAATGAATAATAAAATGTATAGAATGTTACAAATATTAAAGCATTTTTAGCCATCTCGACAGAGAGCTGAAGGCGGGTCTTACCAGTGATGTCAATGGGCTCCAGGGCAAAGGCCTCCTCCTCATTGTGAACCAGTGTGGTCTGTTCCGTCTGGTCAGCCATTGCTGGCAGAGGCTCTGCCGGGCCGGAGTCTGGGCTGTCAGGACCCGCTAAAGACACGAAAGACACATTCGTCGTCAACAGGGATCCAGTCTCGCTCCCACTACAGGGGAGAGGGTGGGCGGGGCCACGGAGCTGGCAGCCCTAGCCTCCAAGCAAAAAGGCATGCTTGCGTCTGAGTGCATGTCCGACAAGCAGCCCCTCAATCAACTGAATGTACTTTATTGAAACATAGCAACTATTAAACTGTATATTCTGTTTCACACGCTCTGCAATAAGTGAAGAGAAAACAGCCCAACTTCACTTACGTGACTGGAGGTTGTCAAAATCGTCATCATCGTCTCCATGGTCCGGTGGCATCATGACGCTTGCAGTGATGGCTGGAGGGTCGTCAAAAATACCTCCTCCGTCATCAGAGCTCAGTAGCTTATCAACTGGGAAATAATTGGGATTAACTATTAACAACTTAACCATAAAGAGTAAAGAGAACAACTCAAACAGTAACCTGATGTGGCTCACCCAGCATTCCCCCATCACTGTTGCCCATGGAGGCATCCCCAAAGTCATCATACTCCATGTGGTTGGATTTGTCAGGGAGGTTGGCTGGGCCAGGCTCCGCCTCCAGCAAAAGGTTAGAGGCCGTGGCACCGTGCATGATATCCTCCTCAAATGTGCTGGCCTCGCGCATCATTTCTCGTTCATCCATACCAAAGTCAGCTGAAGAGTACAGGAGATGGATGTTATGAAAATATGAACAGGGGAAGTCGGTTTTGTTGTACCATCCTAAATTATGTGCCATTATTATTGAAATTTGCAATTATCGCCTCGTACATATTTAGATGTATGATGCACCATTGTAAACCACATGATACATTTGTGCTGGGCAATAAGTAAAAACACTTTAAAGTAATTTGCGACTTTTTAAAAGCAGTATTCCCTGCATGCAGTAGCAGTTAATATATGTATTGTAAATCACAACTTAAACAATTATGTAATCAAATAAAATATGATACCAAAGCTACGTGCAACTGCTAGCACATTGAGGTTATACCTACTTTGTTAGAGCAATGTTTGGTTTATTTTCTGAAGAGGTACCAGAATAAAACATGGTTCTGTTATCAGGGAGCAGCTTAACAGTCAGGACCCGGGGGGGATTCATGTGAGGGGAACAACCGCATGGCTGGCTTACCCAAATAAAGAGTGACAATCAAAAGCAGCTTGTTTTCACATCTTGTCTGTATTTAAAGAACAAGCCAGTAGTGGTTATAAATAACTTTGCGTCTATCAACCCACCCACTGAAAGACTTAAATTGGTAATGTTCACGCAAAAGTTTGCAAGTTTTCTCCGCCAGTCAATTTCTGTTCATATGAATCACTGCAGCAGTCTTAGGCCCGCCTCCAAGTGCTCTCATTGGTTGAGACACATGCCCATCCCCGATATTTACATAGAGTGTCCTACCAAAGTCGTTGTCCTGCAACAGGCTGAGGTTGCCAACATCTTCCCTCATTGTGATCTCTTCTACTCTGCTCTGGTTTAGGGTGAACTGCTGGGCCACATCTATGTCACTGTTAGCAAAAATAAAATTAATAAATGAAAAAAATCTAGGATTAGTACAACAGCGGGTACTTAAATCACACAAACCAAAATTGGTGAATGAAATCTGAACTGTAGTTGAATTTAACTTACTCCAAATCAGGAAGTGGCTGGTCAAAGTCATGGAACTCTTCAGGTAAAGTGATGGCGTTGTACGCCGCCTCTCGGTTTTCCTCAGGGAGATCCACAACACCTGGACAGAGAAAAAAGTTCTAATGTTGTTATAACAGACACATGTCCTCCGTGATCAAACTCCTCAAAGTCAGTGTGGGAAAATCAATCACACATTCAACTGCAGTTCATCTTTACAGTCTTGTATAACTGCTGGTTAAAGTGGTTAAAAAAAACCGCGCCCCAGTGTCTTTAGAAACAAGGTTTCTTTCCAACTTTAACCTTGTTTCTAAAGGCACATAGATTTTCCGTTTTGCCATCAGCCTGAATGCAGTAATTCCTTTCTTCCAGATTAGAGAAAGCACTTTGCTCATCTGTTCTTCTTACCTGGCCTAAAAGCCATTTTGATCTTGATGAAGGCTTCATTACAGTCGGCCAGCAGGTATTTGGCCTTCCTATGGTAGATTCTCACCACCCCTAGGAGCAGGTGACCAGACGTACGCAACGCCATCTTCACCTAAGAAAAAGGGGGGGAAATGGGAAAATTAAACAAAGACCAGGCACGTTGTGAGGGTACATTTGCTTTGCTCAAAAACAACACTGAATGGTATCAGCATATATCAACATTGTACAGGAACGAGGTACTTTGAAAGAGGTCCTTGCAAACACACTGGAGGGCAACCGTTGTATGAAGGCAATCCAATTTGTTGATGGAGCATTAACGCTGCTGTAACTAGTCTCCATTCATTCTTCTTTGTCTTTGGTAGAATATTCTTTTGAAAATGAATTAATTTTAATAATTGGGAGGCAAAAAATGTTGTCTCGTTACCTTTGGTGAGATGATGCTCTCCACGCTGCTCTCAAGGTTGCATTCAAACACATGAGCCTTGGTCAGCTTCTTGTCCCAGTGGGCCGCTAGCCAGATCTTGGCCAGCGGCCCACGTTTGCTGAGGACAAAGTGGGCGTAGAACATTGCCCTGGTTGCCCTGGCTCACACACTCACACTGTGGTATGGTTCACCTGAGGAGGGAGGGGGTATAAACACATCAGTGATTAGGAGGGAGATGCATTTCCAAAACAATGAGGAGAAACGAAAGAAAAGAATAATCAAAATGCTCAAGACATGTTCAGGATGAGCAGATTGACTGCTGAACAGAACCAATGCGTAGCGATTACAAACATGTGGATCCTATTAGCTGTTATAACGATCAATTCTTATTGTGCTCATAATGCCATTAGGGAGGCAGTTAACAGCAATTGTGTGATAAACCGATCACAAGAACCAAGTCACCACGACTGGTTTTCAAAAATGCAGATGAACTTGGCTGGTGGAGGAAGTCCAAATCAAAAGGTCCCTCGAATAAGCAAAGCAAATCGGGGGGAAAAATAGAGTCATCGATTTATTGAGACCAAGGTAGCCAACATGGTATTAGCTATTAGTAAGTAATGGTAGTATCTGAAGAGGTGGTTACGGTTTCATGGGCGCCTGGTTATACTTGTTACGGGAGAGTTGTGCGCTCTCTCTGTCTCTCTCTCTCTCTCGATGTAACGTTACGGGTTTGATTGAAACGAATGTTAGGTAGTCTCTTGTTGGATCATTAACTTAGGTTAACTAACTTAACTAGCGTGTGATCAGGTATCATCAGGCTCCCGCAAAGCACATCTTTTCCCCCTGGTTGTTCTGAATATGGTCAAAGCTAACTTGAAACGTTATGTAAGATGTAACTCTAAATCACGACACAGCGTAGTATTTAGAGGGATATAATACAATTTTAAATCAAAACAAGCTTTTTCCCCAGACAAAACATTGGAATTGCACATGTAACAGCTAGTATAAAACACGTAAGCAATAATCTAGACATATGAATAATCACTTCATAACTCGCGCAAACAGATTTTTTTGTTAAAAGAGACGTGTGTGTGGTTATGTAACGTTAGGCACGTAAGTTTAGTTAATACGGTGTAATGCGTTAAGAGCGCCAAGGGTTGGTCAACGCCAGGAAATAGTCGGCGCCATCAAGTGGGATGAACTAAAACTAGCCGCCAGCTAACTACAAAACGAGAAAGGAAACCATTCATACGGGTTTTATTTAATTAATCTTACGTTAAAACAACGGACAAAAACACAGCTCGCATGTGAAAAAAACCCAGAAAGCGCGCCGGAACAAGGCGCCAATGAAACACTGGCGTTACTCATACTTTTCCCCTCATTCAGCACAACTGTATCGTTAGCAGGTGGCTAACGGCTCCCTGTACAGTGAAGGCCGCAGCGGACCCACACAAACGTGCATGCTTATCTCGGCCCGCAGAACACACATAACCTCGCGTAAATATTCCCGCTGCAAACACACTTACCGGCTGCTCCCCCTTTACAGTGAAATTATAATGGCTATGTGAATCCTCCCAGCGAATTATCCCCTGTTGTACTCATTAAAACAGCCAAGATGGCGCCAGTCGCCTTCCTCCCGCTCACCGCTGTCCTTTTAAAATCGGCAGGATGTTTACAGTCAAAAATGGCGGAGGAGGAGTCTGCGGAGTGTGAGGGGCCGACGCAGGCAGACAGCCCGCTGTTCGCACCGAGCGCAGATAGGGGGCGCTGTGGCCCAGTGCTCAATGCCCACCGGAGACACGGACGGTGCTTGACATGTGATCAATACTAATAATGGTCACACGCTGTGTTCCCTCACACGTAGTAACAAATTAGTCACCTGACTCACCTTTTGTCTGTCGGAACTGCTTTTGTTAGAAAAGTATTTTTATTTTTCGCAGGGTTCACTTCCAACAAAGGTTGCACGCGGCTGTTGTGCTCATGGTATTGCGTTTTTGTGGATGTGAATGTGACGGACAGGTGTCCCATCTGTCAGCTAATGTTTTGAAAGACAGCAGATCCAGATGTTGGAAGCTCCGGTTATGACCCACAGCCAGCACATCACCAGACCACGCACACCTTTATCACAGCAGACGTTCTGACATGTCATCAGTGGAATTGCAGATTGCATCTGAGGCCCCTGAACTATTGTGCATGCTACACTTAAATAGCAACAACATGCCCACCAGAAAAACAAATTCAAACAGATACACAGGTGAGGAGAATCCCAGAGAGACTGAACTGAATCATCTACAGTCAAATATGCATCTGCAGTAGAAGAAGTGCTGCCAGTTGACCATGTTTATGGTGCAGCAGGAGCAGCAGCGCTCCCTGTTAGTGTGTAAATAAAGGTCTCGTTATCTGCATGGTGTGAGAATTTACTCATCAAATCCTTTCAGTCCTATTCAATAAAGCAACATGCATTGCTAGATATCTGCAGTGACGGTACAGATGATAAAAAAAAAAAAAAAAAGGTAAACTCCCAAGGCACTTGAGCGGCGTGATAATCATCACAATGGCAGGATGATAACACAGACGCATGTATGGCTTCGAGGGAAGAACTAATTCACTTCATGTATTTGAATCCGTGCCGATATGCTCAGAAGTCAATCACATCATCGTTATCACACACATTTTAGCATTGCACAGACTCAACGGCTCATTGTTAGATAAATGAATTATTGATCTGAGCTTAACTATTAAACTCCAGAATTGAAAGATAGCAAAGGCAAGAGGGACAATAATGACTTTTTAAAATGGTGTTTAATTAAAAGCTGGGTGGAGCTTTTACAACGTGTTGCCGATTCATGATAAATCAAGTTATTTTTCCCTATCAGACATCTACACAGCCTGAGACAAAGCAGTCACTTCAGCACGGATGCTTCTCTGCATTAAATGAACCACTGCGTCGACGCACCACGGGGTGAGTCACAAAGCCCCGGACATCTGATTCTCTCTATACAGCTAAAGTGTATCATTTGTGTAGTACAGCTGTATGGAGTAAAACAGGCTGCGGTTCGGATGCGCTGAAGCATTCTTGTACATATGTGGGCTGGAAGACGCAATGCACATGTATCCAAATGAAGGCCGATTGAAGTCACATTCCCATGAAATCAATCGCTTTGACTAAAATTGCCATAATATGCTCATGTTTGTTTAGTGTAGGAAAAGTAGAAAAGAATGGGCCTTTGCTCCAATTTCTTCAAGTATTGAAGCTTTTCTCCTTGGTTTACAACAAAACACATTTATTTCCGGTCACCATGCAAACAAAAAGCCTGTAAAACATTTGGATCTCTTGGGGATTCTTTCTGATTCGGTTCTTAGACCATCCAGGGTGGACGTGGTCTTGGAGTGATGTCCAAATGGTTTTCCTTTGGTGTGTTACTGTATAATCCAGCTCCAAAATACCGCACAGCTTTTTGTTTCATGAGTTTTGCCCAGTTTAGTGTCCATCTCCGAGTGTGTGTGCGTTTTGGGGGTTTCTCTCTTGTAGCTTGGTTGGCAGCTCTCGTGCACCATGGGATCATCCTGGAAAGATGCTGTTATTTATGCAGCGTGTCTAAACCGATCATTCTGACACAGATTTATGTAAACACAGCAGTTTCCTGGCATAGGAAAGGCAGTGCACGTGCATGCACACGCACAGCCGAAGCTATTATATAGTTTGGCTCTCTCAGAGGGAACACTACATAAACCCCAACATGCAAAATATGTTTGGGGAAGCCTGAGAACGGGCTGCCAGTCGGAAAGGACGAGGGATCGCAACGTAGCTCTTTTGCAGCGCAGATTTGTAGTTCTAATACCGGACATTACAGATATAAAATGGTCAGAAAATATACATACAAAAGAAAGGCAATTCATATCAAATATTTTAATTGATTTATTTTTGTTTTTATAAAATTATTTTACAAAATTGTGATTCATTTCCCTCCATCTTTCCATTTTAATTTCTATAAAATTAGGTCTGCGGTTACAGAAGAGGGAAGGAAGCAGGCAGAGATTCAGTCGGGACTCAATCCTGTCTGATAAATACTGTGTGCGATTGAATGAAGTGAAAGAAATGAAATGTATTATTATACTTATGACAACCATATGATTCAAGGCAGTAGTGTAAAAACTGAAGAAAACAGAAAAGGCGGGAATGTCATTATCCGATCTGTGGAGGAGTCTCAGTAGCATTTCAGTGTTGAATACAATCATTTGGGGAACCATTATGTTTTACTCGATATCGATAAAGAAAAGAATAAACTATCAAATGAAAACAGGGATGCGTTTCTTGCACAAGGTAGATGGGGGAAAATAAAATATTTAGAAAAGGGTACTTCTGAAGGCACATCAATATATAACCCTGTGGGCCTGTGAGACGACACAGAAGAGAGATCTTAAATATTGCACCAGGTTCATTTCTGAAATACGGTTCTGTTTACGACCATTGAGCTGTCTGGATAGCGGTTTAGTAATACTAGGATTGTTCCGTTTGCTTTCAACATGTGAAAAAACACCATGCAGCCCCGGACTTTCACACATACACCATTTCTTGCCCCCCCCAGTCTTTCTCGTCTCTTGTCTCTTTTATACAGACAGGAAAAGTTCCTTGGAATTCATGGTATTCCTTCAATTAGCTAAGAAAATATGAAAGCTAAATCACAGATGACCGATTGGCACACGTTACAGTGAAGATGTAGCTTACCAAAATGACCTAAATGATTCATCGTCCTCCAAAATGTGTGGCGGTGTGGGGGCAGGTGTGGTCCGCTGTCTACAGAAATGTTGCTGGCTTTACAGCAATAATCCAGCGACACATGTACTCAGAGTTAGAGACGAAGGGTCAACATTTTCAGATATGTTTGAGGAACAGAAAAAAATGACGCATGGTTTATGAAACCAACCGTTATGAAATATTTTCAGTCAATAAACCTTGTGATCCATCTGGAAAATTAAATTAAAATTGTTTTCGTTCCGGTGCAGTTAGATACAATTATCAGATTGAGAAAACAAACAGAAAATGTTGACATTTATAAATATAAACATGGAACCAACTTTCACATCCTGGTCTGACACTTTGTCTTTATACCGTGTCCAAAGCCCAGTAGAGATGAAGGAACATGATAACCAGAGACACAAAATTGGCTTTCTGCAAAATGTACTCAAGAAATACGACAAATGCAATTAATTAAAAACTTGCAACCTGCAAATGTCTTCCCTGTGCCTTTTAACAGTATCAGAATTGGTGGGAAAATTCCTGCCAATTTGTTAAGAAGATAAAGAAGTCGAGTTAGTCCGATGCCAAGACTTGCTGAAAGCTCAAGTCAGTGGACGACATGAATTTAGTCTGTGGCATAAAGACGATGGTCGACCGAGCCCAAAACGATCACATCGGTTCCCTCTTCAAAGGGACCCCGGGCCGGTTGGACGAGAAAGCTCAGCCTCCCCAAACCAAGGCAGCTGGTGTCCCTTAGACCAGCACAATATTGAAGAATGGCACCTCATGATTATTTTGTTTGTCGATTGAATACAAATAAGTCTTCATTTTAGTTTGGCAAGGAATCAAGAAAGATGCTGACTTGAAGAACTTACTAAGAGAACCATTATCCCATCAATTATACAGCCAGTCGTGAGAAAACAAACACAAAAGGTGCTCCTTCTGCACAATGACTTTCCCGCACTCCCAGACCCAAACGCCGTTCGATAAACCCGAGGCACTGTGACCATCAAATGGATGATCAGAACTCATTTCTGTGGTGGAGAGGGTCGTCATTGTCCTCTCTGCCCACCTGCTATTGGTTTTAATCAAGACGATATAGGGGGAGAAGTGCTGGCCATTCATTCACCGAGTACAAAACAATCGTCATGATCATGAGAGACTTTGAGCGGCCTGCTGGTGAGCTCATGCAGGCGGTACTCGTGTAAGGGGAAATCTGTTCCAGTTTCCGGTCCTCCTCGGGGGGGGGACACAACCCATGTGCTCTATCGTCTGCGCCGTGTCCAGAGAGAGGGGGGGGGGGGGGGGTTGGGGGTGCTTCGGAGGGGTTATAGTCTCTCAATGTCCCTGTACTTCTTGCGCAGTATGGACACCTGGTCTTTGAACAGTACCGGGTCCAGCCTCATCTGAGAATGGACGAGGGGCATGGTGCCAAACCAGCTGGCAAACTTGTTCATACAAGTCTGACGCTGGGCAAAATGGTCCGGGTCAGCCCAGCGGGACGCCCGGGAGCTCTGGAGGCGGGAGTGAAAAGGAGACAGACAGAGGGGAAGAAGAGAAAGAAAGAGGGGAAGAGAAATAGAAACAGAAAAAAAAATGTTTAAAAGATGAATAATCCACCACCAATTATTGACCTTTTAGGGCCGGTTGTAAATATTCATGAGTTTATTTAAATTGAAGGTCACATTGCAGGAATCACCCAAAACATTTAAATTTCAGTTCACAAATGACAGATTTAACAGTTTAACAGCTAACATTATTAAGCTTTAAGTGGTGCGTTACGCCATAAAGGCACGCAGCTTCTACAGTAACCAGGAAAGGCCGCCCTCTGTTCAGCACTGAGTTAGAGAAGCAACCAGAATTTGTGAAAGAGAAACCTTGTGCTCTATGTTTAAATGAGCAACAAGTGCCATATCATCTCTTTTAAATAGTGCCACCAATAATGCCTAACAGGCATAACGTATAATCAACTAATGTCGCAGCACAGATATTCTGCCTCACCTGTCCCATCATGGTCTCCTTGTATTGTTTCTTCTGGGTGACCTTGATGGGTGGTAGTTTAGACACAGAGGACACCAGGAAATTCATCAGGATGTCCTCGCAGTTTGACATCTGGTCCACCATGCTCTTCAGACTGGCGGGAAGGTAGGTGGTGTACAAATAGTGGTAGTATCTAAGGGTGAACATAAAAGGAGAGAGAAAAGCGTTTGCGTGCTGCAATTAACTGGAACCGAATGGCAGCGGGGAGCGAAGCGAAACACATCACAGAGCGGCAGTACTTGTGATAGATGGCGGCCCCGGTCAGCACCATGGAGTAGTCGTTGGTCCATTTGGAAGTGTAGCCCCACCGCTCCTTGCTGCCATCCCAGAAGTGGCTGCGGGCCGGGTAACCGACGATGCGGTCTGGGAAACTAAGCCACACCGTGAAGGCAAAGTCCACCTGGACCGAGTTCAGAGAGGAGCAAAAGAGACGGAAAGACGACGCATGAGGCCAGAAAACCACATACATCATAGTAACTCATCGATAATTAATACGCTCTGGTGTGTGTGTGTGTTTACTGGATAAAAAATGGAAAAAAATGTAAACATTCGGGCAGTCGGACCTCTGTGGTGGAGAGCACGGTGTCCTCGTCCAGACTCAGTACGGCATCGGTGGGAATCGTGTCGTAGGGCAGGAAACGACTGCTTATCACCTGGCATACAAAACATGCAAAACACAGACGCTCAAGCAAAGTGGGACAAGTTGCTGAAAGGAACTTTCACCGTGCAGCTCGAAGACAACCAGCAGCGGATGAACGGGGCGCGCGTGTGAGCACAAGCGGGGTCCATCTGCCTGACAAGCAGCGCTACCGATGACTCAAGGTGCTGCATCAGCAGCGGAGCCACGTCGTTTACGCCACGCAAGCTGACCGGACACCAACGAGGGCCAAAATTCAGCACTTCACTAATCTTACATCTTGATGAGAATGATTTATTGTATCATTTTCAACTGAAGAGTGTTGAACACGAGTTTGGTGAGTGAGAGACGCGTTCCGGGCTTTGTGGTCATTTCTCTACCTTGTTTTCTCCTTCTATAACAATGACAGGAACTGAGGTGACAGGCCAGCGGTGCTTGGCAGGAAGAGGCTTGTCACAGTTCCACACAACGATCACCTGCACAGAGGGGAAAATAGGTAAAGATTAGTCATCACAACATCTTCATACCATGTTAGTACACTCGATGGGAGCTACACTAGAAATGGTGTGATAATGATTCACAATCCATCTCTGGCTTCTAAATATATGTACAGATCAAACCACCACAATGAGGCCCCTTTTTTCTAATTCAAAGCCCTCTATTTTATTTAGTCCCTACTTATGTGGAAGACGTCGTCTTTCTACTGCAGGACTATTTTCAGAAACCGTCACACCGCCTACAGTTCTATGACAGCGACAAACTGCATCGCTGTTGATGTTAAAACAAAAAGCGCTGTCACCTTCATGCTGGCCAAGCCGTTTTAAACCCAGAAAAAACTGGTTTATGGTGGATCTGCTAAATGCCAGTGGTACATACGTTTATTGCAGATTCAAACCACTGGTGCTACAACATAAGAGAGACCTTGTAGTGGAAATTCAAATGAGAGTGAACCCAATCACTTGATGAATTCACTGAAAAATGACTGTTATAGTGTCATTATAGTATCTGTAGAGTGAGGAGTGTCACACCGGTGAGGTGATGAGCCTGAGCAGTGACACCGGCACACAAACGCCCCGTTGCCTTTCTTGCTGAGCCCACTTTTCTGTTGTGTGGGTGTTTTAATTACCTGAGCACAGTACTGGGATTTGGCCACAGCCACGAGGAGCTTCATGACCGGCTGGGACTGGGAGACCAGTGGGCTGACCACGTGAACGATGGCCGTGAACTTGGTATACGGCTTAACACCTGAGAACAGCCGGGAAGACAGTGGTGAGGTTTCAAACACGCAAACGAACGATGATCGGATTGGAGTTCGCTCACATTGCAGCATCACTCCAGAGACCCCCCCCCCACCCCCCGCTGGTTCTATGTTGGCGTGTCATCCCAGCGGTTTGGCATCAGTCATTCCTGTTCCAGTGTAAAATGTGTGAACTGCACAGAGTAGAATATGATCTGTAAGTGACACCTCTTTGATAGCTTAGGAGTCTTAGTTGGGGATTGTTTACTTTACTTATACAGTGCAACCGAACAGGTCTAATTAGACTGGTAAAGGAAAAGGTGCCGCTGGAGCAAATCCCAACGTCAACAATAAGCCCCAAGTGGAGCCAATTAACCGCGCACAAATAACACACAGCAGGTCTAATTGGTGAGCTTCTCTGCGATGAATCGGAAATGGATAAAAGAGAAACTTAATCACTTGACGCCATGTCAGGTCACGAGTCTACGAGTATTCAACAGCTGTCACGCGCCAGCTGTTCCAGCTGTTGAAGATGTTGCGCCCCGAATGCAAATCAGTCCATCGGAGTTTAACAAGCGCCATGAACAGGCTTTTCTCAGCATACAGAATTTGCAGGAGCGATGGACTGACCGAGCTTGGCGTAGTAGAAGGGGAAGTCCCCCAGGTATGTCGAGTACTGGGGCAGCGTGAAGAGGCCTCCAGGCAGACTGTTCCACATGAGGTTACTCCTCGAGGTGTGCCGCAGTACCCGGTCCTGGATGATCTGCATGGACAGAACAGGGGAGGAAAGTCACATTTAGGTATTCGCTGAAGAGCGATCACTTGATTGCAGTTGATGAGCATCAAATCAGCGGTTCACAGTACTCCTGGGGTCCCGCGTGGCTTGTAGAAGAATAAAAGAAAATACCGGATGGCTGAGATTGAGTGTTAACATTAGTAAGGATATTAACAGTGAGCCAAGCTCTTAGATTTCAATTTACTTAAGTCTTCAGAAGCAGGTCCTCTGGCACCCAAACAAATGACACTTGCCACTATGCTAAAGAATAGAATTTAACGGTAGCATCACTTAAGCTGTTCCATAAGCCCGATTGAAATGTAGACGTTTAGTTGGTTGTTGTTGAACTAGTACCCTACGAAGCAATGTCAAAGGAAACTGATGAGACACTGAGCATTCTCAAAAGGATGAAGTAGGTGTTGGTAACAATCTGGAGCCAAAGCACCGACATCGCTGCAGCCTCGTACGAACGTCGTGTTTCGGACCAGGGTTCAGATACTGAGCGTGTAAACAGATCGAAGATCAGCTTCTTCGGGGTGCAACTTTACCCTGCTGATCCCAGCCCTGCCTTCTAGTGTGCTGACTTCCTACTTCTGGGCACGAGGCCTCTGTAACACCATCTGAGGACAACAACTAATGGCCAACAAGTAGTCACGTATGGATGTCACCGAAACATAGCTGTGCTTTTCCTGTTATAGTAAAGATTCAAACACGTACTAAACTAAATTAACATTAGCTAGAAGCACAATTCAGATAGATTTTTCTTCTCTACATTCTGTTAGACTACCGTGCCCAAAAGCAAGACTTTGAATGCAGTGAGACTTAACTACCCTACACATCCCGCCCAGCTCTCATCTTTGCTTGTTTGTAATTCTAACCCAACAGCAGCAGAAGCAGGAAGCATACAGATGAAGGAAATCTGACAGAAACAAACTACTGCCATGAACGAGGTCCGGGCCACAGAAAGAATCAGCCTCAAAAAAAACATAACAGCGGGGTTTGGCGACATATCATTCCTCTCGGGGTCCAGTGTGGAACAGATCCATTGTGGACGTTGTGTCTGCTACTACACTGTCTGCACGTTGTGAGACACAAAGTCAATAACTGAGATGAACAGAACTGAGAGACTCAAACAATTGTGTAAAAAAAAAAAAATCAACAATGGATTGATGCCATATTTTGATTTGTATGCTCAGGAGAATTTATGTGCGATCAAGCATAGTTGTTTACTAACAGCTGAGAAAAGCAGAATCCCAGCAGCAACATCTGACATTTCCACAAAACAGATGGTAGTGTAGTGACACCTGATTTGAAGGATGTACATACATAATTTACACAACAAAGAATGACAAACAAGCTATTCATATGTGTGCACTTGTATTTTATGTTCAAACATGAGTGTACCTCCAGGGTGGTCAGTACGATCTTCTCCACAGAGTTGAAATAAGCCTCCCAGAGGAACTGGGTCTGGTGCCTCAGAGACAGGATCTTATCCTGGTGAATGGAGCGCACTGTTGAGGGGATCTGCCAAAGTCAGAAACACACGTCAGCACATTCATCCCCCAAACCAAAGCACAGCAAAGAGACAGAACTACACAGGCTACGCCGCTTTTACCAACAAAATGCCTCGCCTGCCCCCGCCTCAATAGTTATCTCGGATGTCATGTGGAGTAAATCTGTGATGCTGCCAAGAGGAGCTTTAGGAGACAGCGGTTCAAATTCACAAATCAGGACCAAACTAGGAGGGAAAGTTCATGAAAATAGGACAATTTAGAGGGGGGTGGGGGGGTGTACTATAGCTACCTGTAATAGCAGCCTTTCATCTCCAATCACGGCTGCCGTATTCCAGTCAATGATCTCTGAGAAGGGCAGCTCCCAGCCGTTACTCAGCATCACCGGCACACAAGCTGCCTGTAAGAGTAAGACACAACATGGCGCGCACACACACACACACACAATAGCCGGTGTTTGTTAATGAGATTAATTGTCTGAGAAAAGCTGCTTTGCAGAATGCATTGTGATGCTCAAGACTGGTACAGTTGTGCACGGTAAAGATGCAAACACACACGAGCAGGAAATAATGAATAAATAAATTCACAGAGTTGGAGAAGTTGGATCAAAGCCCCAGTGTCACGACCCATGTGACGTTAGTCTTAAAATATTGAAATGCAAAGGGAAGTTGCATATTTAACAAAAAGGGGCAAATATCTACCAAAATATTCCCATAACCGACCGCACTGCAGCAGTACCTTGATGACTAGACAGGTAGTGCGGCTCCTTAGATGATCCATAAATGATCATTATGTTCATTGGAAAGGATGATACTTGAATATTTAACCACTCCATCTGAAAGATTCATGAAATTGCAGAGTGTATCCATGTTGAAGAGTGTCCATGAGAATGTGTGTGAAAATGTTTGTGCTGTAAATTTAAGTCTGTGTGTGTGAGAGTTGAATAGTGCAGCGTCCTGCCTGCAGTGCCCGGCCCTAATCTCCTCGTTGTCATTAGCTAAGGCAGCAATCTGCTGAAACGCTGCCCTGCTTTGGCTACCTATCCGCTTACACACAATTAATAAAACTCACTGCTAAGAGCTTCCTACGTTTTTAGAAAACACTCTTGCGTAACAGAGAATCTCAGCGGAAATCTAGGACCTACTGCTCGTCCCGGCAACTGCGTCGCACAAGCCGCTGCTCCGACTACATATGTCATCTCCTCCCCAGCGACCCGGCTCGAGCTCAATCATGTGGAAGCCTCCCCTCTCGACCATCGCGACGCTCCCCATCGGGCCTGCTGGAATACTCATTGAGGCGACGTAACTAATGCTGCACCCAAATGCTCAAAGTGTCTGTGGCGAGCATAAGGCGGAGTGAAGAGACACAACCTCTGCATTTTGGCTCCACTGCTTCATTCATCAGTGCGCTGTGGGACCCGACTCCCCACTGGTGTAATTATTTGTCCAATCCAGTAAATAAAGAGTCACTGCCCGTCATCGACTGTGAACTCATAAGTCTGACTCTTTCTCTCCTGCTGTTAGGAGACTGCTGCTTGCAGAACTTGACATTACGCCATTACTTTGGTTGCTGTGTGCAGACAAGAAAAGGGTATTTACGATGCTTTTTCGCTCTTTCTCTTTGGTGTTAACAATTGCTGTCTAAACACGGTTTGAAGCTGCAACCCAAGTGGCCTGTAACTTTAATGGTAGGATTTTAAATCTTATGTGGCAATAGTTCTTCTGATTAAAAGTAGCAAGTACGCATATAACGCATGTCATTTTTCTCTCGGAGGAGGGACGATGTTTATTTTTTGAAATGCAGTCTATATAAACCCATTCTATAACTATGGTCCAATCCTTACTAAAGAGCGGTCACTAAAAAGGCACCAACGTGCCAACCAAAAACATTGCGAGTGGAAATATGGTCGGGGGAGCAGTGAAGACACGGAGTCACAGGCAACCGTATCAACACTGGCTGCATATTAACAAGATGACTGGCAGTGGGTGAAAAAGAGCTACTGGAAGTAACCCGGCACTTTTTCCCTTTTCAACCACCGATCAATGGCTTTATTGTTTGCTCAGCACAGCTTCAAGGCTGACGGACTGGAAGGTTTTCTTGGACCAGCTCAGCTTGCGTTCGGCCATTATGCTTGGCTGCCACAACCAACCTTGCTATAGATCATATAAATAAGATTTAAGATAGAGAAACATCATGAGAACGGCCGCACAAGGATCAATGTCGGTCTCCCTTCAATTTGGGGTTTATTTGTGTCCAAAAAGTCGGCTACAACACCACATAAAACGGATCAAACTGCAAGCTTTCTAATTCCAGCGTATTTGTACCTGCGGTGTTGCACCCACTGACAAATCCCATCCTCGAGGAGCGACATCCGTACGGGAGTCACTTACCTGCAACGCCTCCAGGAAGCGGAAAGAACCCAGTCGTCGTCCTCGCGGTACCAGGCAGAAGGTGGAGTTGTACAGCATCTCTCTGTAGTCGTACCTGTCGGACGGCAGCAAAGAGGACGAGACATCAGGAACTCATATGGAGAGAATAAGAGCAGTCACAGACGGGAACACGGTCCGTTCACCGGTGGATTAGTTCATAAAGCTTTAACCAGATGTCACGGCCAGTACGAGGCCCGCGTTTCCAATAAACATTCGAAGTGAAGCAGCAGGGGACAGCCCAAAAAAACCCACGATGGAATACCTGGAAAGCAGCAGAAGTACTCTGAAGTAAAAACCCGTCACTTTGATCTCCACTCCTGTCTCTCCCCCCCTGCAGCACCCATCATCTATATACCTGTTGCCCTCTCACTGGCGCATCTCAACGTCTCCTCCTGCATCCAATCTACGCCTCAGTCAGCACTTGCTTGGATTACGCAGCTGCTTGGAATTCCTTCGGTGTCGATCTGTGTGAGCGTATCTGTGCTACCTGGTTGTCATGCGTTGGTTTCCATTTGAAAAAGGCTGAAAGTAACGAACACAGGGATACGCAGTTGATGCAGCACCCCCATAGTACATTACAATATGAGGTAGGACACTTCCATGCTACAATTCGTGTGCAATGATCTGAAACACATTCTTAGCCACGTGTCTGGAAGTATCCGCCTCCACAAAGAGAAGCTCAATTGTAACCCCAATGTTTTAGGAGACTACTGCAGGCACGAGGAAAGTCAACCGCTGCTGAGAAGCATGCGTGTGCTACACAAAAGTATCGGAGTTCCGATGCTAACTAGTCGTTCCATCTATAGCTCCCGTCATTCAGGAGGGAGGGGGGGGGGGGTCGCAGGACGCCACGCCAGCTGGAAATAAAGTCCTAAATAGCTTTCAAAACAAATAGCCGGTCTGTATGATTACACAGAGCGACACAACGCTGACACTCTCAAACACAGCACTCTGGAGGTGTTTTGGCAGCACGGAGCTGTTGGAACGAAGAGACCAACCGGGCCAAAACATCGAAAGCACCGACTGGAGGGAAAAGCACTCTGGTATTTTGTTGGTATGTTTTTTGAGGTAAATGGGTGTGTGACTGCTGAACGTTCGCCTGGTTGATAAGCGCATCAGCGCTTTTCATAACCCTCTTATTCTCTGTATGGCCTCAGGAGCACATTCTGTCAGGCCCCATCAACAGTTACACACTCATCACCCAACCCAAAGTCCTGCTCTCCTGCTGTCCCTCAGAACACAGCTGAAGACACAGCTCAACTATCAACTGCAGTGATAATGTAATATCTATCTGGATAATCCCGCTTTAGACAACATGCAGCAAAAAAAAAAAAATCAGCAGCCATTAAAAGCATTAAAGCTACAGTAAAGCTTAATGCCATCGACAGTAATGAACTGTAATGCATCAGAAATCCATTACCCACGAGCACACATTAGCAGGCTGGGGTAAAGAATACCAACGATTAGGTCGGATCTGTGCGTCCATTATCAAACAACCATCTCATTCACAGATACGACATTAAGCACGACAGACAAATAATCCCACCGGAGGCACAAAACAACTGACCCTTTTTCCAGGCCTATAAAACACCAGTGGGAGTCCAAATCTGGAACCGGCTGGGTGTAAATCTGCCCTCCCCTCAGTTTCTTCTTCAGTGCAAACTGAGAAGACCAGATGTTCGTCTCCCTGCGTACCTCCACTCTCCTCCAGTCTTCCAGATGGCTGCCGGTGGGGAGGAGCCGCCTCCCGGTGAGTTACCGCATGTCACCGGAGATGTTAAGGATGAGCGTTCAGAAAAATATCGCCCTCCATGAAAACCATACTCCCGACTCCCGGAGTTTCTGCTTTACCGCCCCCCCCTCTTGTACTCATGCATGTGGGACTAAATGTTCAACTGATTGTTCTCATTAGCAAAACGTCTTAACTATCATGTTAGTAACTAACTCGACACGATAGGGGGTAAATCCGGCCCAGTCCCACATTCCCTCCAACATGCACATGCAGCTCTACATATGGCACAGCACTATCAGGACCTAATGAAGCAACAAAAACACACTTGGAAACGGAGCCATTTCATGCACATTATCATGAATGAGATTCAACCACTCCATGAAAAGAAAGTTGCACAGGGATTCCCAGAGCTTACCAAATTCTGTTTGAATGTGTCAACTTGATAAACAACCAGAAGCCATGTATTCTGCTGCAGCGCTGCGCACACTACTGCAGGAGAGAACGCGTGTGGTGGGCGCGTTCACTGAGGAGTTGACCTCAACCAAATGTTCCGAGTGGATATTTCTTGAGCGTGCAGTTGCTCTCGGTTAGAAACGACCATCATTTAGAAGCAAGTTATTTGAGTGAGATAGCAAAAGAGAAACATCAGACAAGTGGAGTGGAGTCCAATTCTCCACCGAATGAGCATTAGTGTATGAGTCATTGCTTGTTACAGATTGATTTCTTGAAGAATTGGTTGTTTTGAATTACAACCAAATAAAAGGTTGGCAAACAGCTAAATTCTATTTATCACTCGTTTTTATTATCAGTAGGAGCAATCCCCTTTAGTTTTCAATCCTGGAGATGTACAGCCATGTTTTATGCTCCAAACTAATTTATTCAAGGATTAATACAAAGAAAACAAAAATTCTATAATACTGCAAGGGAACCCAGTATGATTCACCCAGTACGTTTCACTAAAGGACTAAAAAGAACAACAGGAAGAGAGCTGCGTCCAAAAGAAAAAAGATCAACCAGTCTCCTAGCAACAAGAATGAATAGTGTGAAAAATAAATGCATGGCTCACTCCGTCAAGTGCCTGTGGAGACTCGGAAGAAGAGCCGTGAGAAAGTGCTTCTCTGATAATCTGCGTGGACCACACGCATGTACGACACAACAACTCGCAGAGAGCAGCACTCAAAGGGAGGAATTGCTTTAGCTGCCTGTGTGCAGATCGGACTCTTGTGTCGAGTGTCTGTGCATCGTTTCCTCGGTGGTTATTGTAATTCAACAAATGCAACATACAGTAAGCTGGACTCATTCATTGTACAAGTGAAAATAAGCCAAAGACAGTGAGTAAATCATGATCTCTGAAAGCTCCGCCGCGCCCTAATGTATTACACATTCTTCTGTACCGCGGTGGAAAGAGGCCGAAGTGGTTTGAATTAGACATAATGCGTCGAAATGTTCACTTAAATAATCCAAATAACCGTTTCCCGTTTGATTTAAAACATGCTGCCTCCCGTGCACTCAGCTCGGCCACAGGAAGAATCTTTAACAACTGGGAATTCCCAAAAGGGGAAAGGTAGATGGAAACTCTGCCACCATCGCGCTCTCTCGCACAGACTTCTCATCTCATTTTCTGCTTCCTCTTCTCAGTCACTTTCCAGCCAAGCTGATGGGCAGTTGACTGTTGCCAAGACTTTAAGCCGGAGGAATTTCAGAGCAGAGAGGCACCGAGGAAAAGTGATGAGAAAGGACGAAACAAAATAGGAAAAAAAAGCAGCGGTTGACAATCGCGTGCTGTATCCGATCACACACACACAGCCAGAGCCACCCATGGCAAGAATGTCTCACACACACACACACACACACACAACCCAAACACACAGATAAAGCCTTGGTTTGATCTCGACACGCATCAGAGTGACTTCAATAGCCGAGACGCTGCCAGGACCTCTTAGACCGGGCGGCTTTCTTTCCCCTGACAAGGCGGCGCACCGAGAGCTAAACATGTGCAGAGTGACAGGGAAAGCTGGCGCGCTTTACTCATGGAGCATCCAACGAAAAAAAAAAAGATGGGACATTAATGCACTTCCACATCGGCTTCACTTTTCAGAACAGGAGGTCGCTGCGTTGAAAAAGACACAGTTTTCAGGCAGATCGGGGGTTAATGATCCCCCCACGTACTTGTGTTTGACAGGGTTCATTGGCCGATTTATATTAGGCAGCTGACCGGTGTCTAGTGCAGAAAGAGTGCGTCAGAAAACATCAGACGCCACCAGCGGTTTTATTGCACCAGGAGGGAACTGGTACGCTGATTAAAGCGAGAACTCGTGAAATTGTGTGTGCGCGAATTGAAATTTTGCTGTGATGAGTAACGCACAAGAACTTTGAGAAAGGACCATTTAGTGGACAGATAATCTATGAGACTTACTTAACCAAAGCCACAGAGCTTAAAACGCTCCCGAGGACGGGCGCGCTGTACGAATGAGACGCTCTCTTGCATTTAATGGCGTAGTTGTTCCTGACTGTTTTACTCGCAGCCATGATAGATGAACAACATTTCTTTAAGCAGCGGAGCCACATATCATTGCCTCTAGCAGGAATGGGACAGGAAAAAGAAAAACGGATGGCAGCAGAGCTTAAGGGAAAAGAACATTATAATGAATAAAAACAACTAGAGTGGATTACACAAGCTGGGCTGTGTCATGACACCCAGAGGCCGAATTTGCAGAAGTAATCATACTGCCTAACCTCTCTCTTCATATTTGGTTTTCTAGATGTGAATGGAAATGTATTAGTAAAGCCGGTATGTGGTGGAATATCCGGTAGTCTTATTTACAGGGCCACCTAAAATGAAAATAAAGTCTTGAGATGCTACTACAGATATTATGGTTATTTATAACTTATGAGAAAATATGAGGCATGAGTAAAATAGAGGAAGTTGATAATCACTTAAATCCTCTGAACAATATTGGTTGAAATGAGCGGCAACAAATGGGACCATGGTTTACTTAAAAGAAATAAACCAGATAAGACTATTACGACACACAGTACAACTTCTCCCAATGAAAGTAGCTGGCTATATAAGCTCGATAAAATGCTAAATCTAGTGTGAAAGCTACCACCATCAGGCCTTCATACAAAACGATTAGCCTGTAAAAGCCTACAGTTTTGTATTTGATTATAGTTGTGATGTTCACTAAAACAAAGGTTTTTGTTTTTGACCATGGGATGGGATTTTCATTTTACACACGAGTACAGTGCTGTTACACTTCATAAGAAGTAGGCTCTTGACAGCGGTGTAAGAGCTAACATCGCTCGCTACCATCTCCAGCCAA